CCTCAGCAGTGTACTTCGTCGATCTGCCTGTTCTGCTCCCCACTCTGTCTCTGGGGAAGCCTCTCGCCGCTCCTGAGCCTCTGGCCTGTACCCCAGTTCTTTATGAATAAATAAATCTTAAAAACAAAAAATACAACAATCTTACTATTTCCATGAAACTGAGAATACTCAGTTACAGATATTATTAGTAAATCCATTTAAAATAAAAACATGAAGAAAGAATATACTATGATTCAAAAAAGTAGACTTGGATAGAAAATAGCAATGTGTGAAAAACAGCCAGATAGAACTCTTTGAAACTGTATATCTGTGTGTCTACTTAAATTATTAATTCACTGGGTATATTATATAGTATATTAGATAAAGCTGAACAGCAGAATTAAGGAACTGGAACACAGATCAAGTGAAGTCATTTATTGTATAGCACAGAGAAACAGTGAGACAAAAAGTATAATTTCAGAGTGGTTAGCAGAGGCATGGTGGAGGTTAGAATGAAAATGTTCTCACCAAAAGAGTTCCAGAGGCGAGAATAAAATTAATGATAATAAAATAGGAAATCCTATTAGGACCAAAGAATAATAAAAATATTGTTGATCAAGGAAGAAAAAAAGACCAAGTAAATATTAGGGACAAAGGAGAAAATACTGATGCAGACAAGATTTCAAAACTAAATGAATGCTACAAAAAAAACCAAATTCTATATCAATATATTGAAAACTTAAATGGAAGAAACACGCTTCTAGGAAAATGTTATCAAAATTTAGGATAAATCATGTAAACCTCATAGTCATTAAAGTAAATGAATCAGTTTAAAGCATACAATAAAATCAAAACACTGTTTTAGAGATAAATTTTATCAAACTTTTAAAAAAATAGACAACCCCTCTGTTATATAAACTTTTCCAGAGAATAGAATGGAAAAGCTCCTCAGTTTCTCATGGATTGCTAGTATTATCTTATCAGCATTACATGACAGCAGTATGATTCTGTCTGCAAATGTCCTTCATAAACCTTCAGCCAATTGAATTTGACCATTTATTTATTAAATATACAGACATTATATGTTATCAGTTCATTCCAAGGTAATCATCACTTTTATGTTTAATAAAATTCTAATCAAAATTCCAAAATAATTCTTCGTGAAAATTGTAAATTTCCTTAGGACAAGATAAGCTTGTCCTAAAATTATAGTAAAAGGCTAACATTATTCAACAAGTAATATAAATTTCTCAGCTATCAGAACTTAGTATGTGAAAATATAAAGTGATATAACTGCTTTGAAAACTTGAAAATTTTAACATGTATGTATTCCATACCCAGCAATTTCTTAGGTTTTTACCCAAAAAATGAATAATAGGTCCTAAAACATATCAATACAAGAATGTTCTTTGCAGCTTTATCCATAGTAACCCAACAAATAAAAAAGCTAAATGTCCATCGGTAGAAAACTACACCTCCAAATTGCTCCAGATTACCTCTTGATCACAGAGTGGATGCTGTATCTCCTGGTTTCACATTCACCTTCCAAATAGGAAGAAGTGGGAAACAAATGACTTTCTTAATGAAGGCTTTGGTTTTTATCTGGAATGGGGTACTGTCTCAGTATTCATGCTTACTGCCCAAGTTTGAGTGGTACTCTGCTGTGTATCATCATTGGATATGCACTAAACAATTTTTATTTTAATCTGTGTGTTGCAAATATATTTTAAAAAATGGAAGATAGTACTAAGTGCTATTCTGGTTATTAAAAATCTGAATGACATTAGAGAATGCCTGTACCCTAAGTATGTGAACACAAGTGTGCAAGGCTAGATGGGGGACAGGTGGAAGATGAGAGTCCATAGGTGGCAAGTTAGGCAGTCAAGGTGACCTCTATAGAAGATAAGAGTTACCAGAATTTGTGAGTGTGATGCTCAGAGAAGGGTACAGCTGTCCTTAAGCCAGCTGTCGCTATGTCTCCCAGTCATCAGTGTCTTAGCAAAGGTATCCATGGGAAGCAGCAAGTGTGAAGTTTTAAGGGTAAAATCAGTGTCTACAATAGCACATTTTTCGTGAATCATCAAAGTAGGACCCGTGGTCAGTGTGATGCCATATATCCGACATTGAAAACACTGCCCGATGTTCTTATGCAGCCTTTCACCACTTCTTGCCATCAGGTTACTGCAGATGTTACAGAATAAATGACTTTTCTACAGATGACATATATATATAATATACCTGCATGACATCATTTAAGTAAAAGCTGGAGTTTTCATTTGTTCTGGTCTGGAGCTTTGGATTTTGGTCAAATAAAGTAGCAAGTAACATAATCACATTTCTGTGTTTTCCTTTCTCCTGGCCATGTGCCTCTGAATACTGAAGTTTTTCCTAGAAAATTCTTGTGGGCAGACAGATTGTACCTATTTAGAAAAATGTAGTCCTGAGGAAGAAATGGTTCCTTCTTCATTTATGTGGTTTTTGCTGTTTTCGTTTTTTAAGTTTGCAAATGCTGTGGCTTCTGTCTAGACTGCCGGCCTCCCTCTTTCTGTATTACTCATGCAATTGGATTTCAACGCCCATTGATGGTCAGATCTAGCTCATTTTGAAGCATTTTTTTGAATTTTTATTTTGATATTGTAAGCCGAGCAGCTTTATGTTCGCTTATAGATTTTCTCTTTTTTCCAAGTTGATTTAATTTGCTACTAGTTTATACTGCTCTAATTTGAGGAACATACCTTCAGACCTCTGTATGTGTGTGACCCCCAAAACCCAAGGGCCCGCTCCTAGTCACCTTCACTCTCCATCGCTTCCTTTATCCCCTCAACCCTATTATAGCCAGTATATTTTTCATCATCTAAGAATTATTCTTGTTGCTTATAAATTTTCGTAGGTAATCACTGATATCAGTGTTTCTTAGATCACTTTCTCCTATATTATCCTCTTTTTCCTCTGTTTTAGTAATGTCTGTTAAAATTTAAATGTCTTTTAAGTAAAGCAAATTTCCATTTCTGGTAGCACTTTGAAAGATAGAAATTTATGAGCAGTTTCTTGATCAATGTGGAAATAATTCTGTATTTTTTTATTGTTTTTTTTTTGTTGTTGTTGTTTCCTTCTTGTTAAGTTATATGAGTTGTTCATAGGTCTCAAATATCAACCCCTTTTTGGATGTAAGATATACAAATCCTTTCTACCATTTAATTGCGTATTTTTCATTTTTAAAAAATATTTATGCAGGTCCTCCCTGGTGGCTCAGCAGGTAAACGCAGCACTAAGAAGCTAAAGCCACTTCAGCATGAGCTCGATCCCTGCCCCAGAGGTGACCCACATGGTGCGGCACACCTCTTCCTGACCTGCCCGCTGCTCCCCTCAGCAGTGTACTTCGTCAGTCAGCCTGTTCTGCTCCCCACTCTGTCTCTGGCAAATCCTCTCACCACCCCTGCACCTCTGGCCTGTACCCCAGTTCTGTATGTATAAATAAATAAATCTTAAAAAAAAAAACTGCATGCTTATAATTTCTATTATCTAGTCCATGACATTCTGAAAGATTACATGTATTTCAGATTCCATAAAGTCTGAGAAAAAGACACAGGAAAATGACCATCAAAAACCCTAATAGACTAATTTAAGTTTTTAACATTTTAAATAAATAAGGAATGAAAGCTTATTGATAAGATGTCAAGTTCAGTGAGAAATAATATTTTAGTAATAATATTTTAAATATTCAAGTATAATAGATTTTGAAATAAAAAATACAGATGTGATCTATCTTGGTAAATAATTTGTTTTGCATAATGTGGACAATAAGCATATAAAGTAGAACTTTATTTTTCTAAACCAAAGAAGTTTTTAGATTTCTGGGTATGTAGACTGAATGAAATACCCCCTTCTATTTAAAAAAAAAAAAAATGTTAAATCGGATATTTAATTATTTTTTTTTGAAATTCATAGCAGATCTCAAAAGAGATTTATCCACAAACAAGGAAATGCTGAAAGAAAACAGTTGCAAA